AGAAGCCGTGGAGTTTTATTTTAGTCGCTTTTTTTTTTCGGCTTCGACCACCAAAAACCACAACTCAGACACAGAAGTGGACGCACTTATTGTCTTGTTTCAACGAACTTGTTTTTGTTGTTCTATTTAACGATTATATTGATCAAAAATTTAAACGTTTATTATGGAGAATTTATTGTTATTTTTTATTTAAAATTAATTTTTATATTATTTAACAACAAGTTTACGAAAGAAAAATATTTTAAAAATTACAAGTAATACTGTAATATGAGCTAAAGTGTAAAAAAAAAATATCTAATTTTTTATATAAAATATAGTCTTCACAAATAATTAATGTTCATATTGTGTATAATATATTTAATATAAATAAAAATAGGTACTAGATATAATATTCATCGAGTTATTTTGGCTTGTTTAAAAATAGTTCGTTTTTTGTTTATGTGATTTTTCGATAAAAAATTATAAGTTAAAATAATTGTGGCCTAGTTCACCAAATCCTCCATTGTACTAGTTTTGTAATTTTTTTTATTACTGCAGCTGTAATAGATAACTAATCGCGGTAGTAATGAATAATACACGTCTTAAAAAAAAATTAAATGTAAATAAATAATACAATGTAAAACATAACAATAACAATCTTCAACCAAGGTCGCGGTCATAGCACTTTCATTAGCGTATTTTTTTTTTTTTTCACTAAAATTTTAAGTCGTTCTAAGTTTAAACAAATACATCAAAACAAAGCTCCCGACGAAAAAAAAAATTTAAACGTTTGAAAATAAAAATGTTTTGAGTTAATTTATGAGGCTAAACTAAAAAAAAAATAACGTTTGACACTAATTTACTACTATTTATATTACATTTAGTGTTTTTTCTAAAATGAATTTAAAATCGCTCACGGTGTAATTAGTATTAGTATAAACTATAAGGCTTAAAAATCTAAACATAATATGAATATGTTATCAATTTTTTTTACTGTTTAACACATCTATTTTACGATAAAAATGGCGAGGGTCATAGCTTTCAAAAATGTCTACTGAAGGAATTAGAACTTCAAAATATTCAATTTTTCAGCGAATGGCAAAAATAATGTTATACATACTATATGTACAATAATAATCGAAGATTCTGTATGGTAATCACACGTAAATTAACGATAAAAACAAACTGCTCTGGTAACATTTTAATTTACATGGTAAACCTTTCAACACACATCTACGTTAAAACAGATTTTTATCGTTGTTAGTTTGACTACGCCGTTGTCGTGTTGCTTACACGAGCGCAACAATCGTTAGAGGATAAAAAAAAAACGGATTTTTACGTACGTGACGATATTAAGTGCATCGTGTGCGTATAAAACGTTACCGAAGAAAAGGTCTAAATGTATCCACCAATCGGTGCGGAGAACCGCAGTGTGCTACAGCCAGAGACAATAGGACAAGGCTTGTGTTTTTTTTTTTTTGACAATTGTCATCATAACATTATTCTGTAACCCGTATATATGCCACAATAATAACATACACGATATTCTTTCGGAAAACAAAAATACACGTTGTATATTTAGCCCTATTGACTACGGGTCAACAATTTCAGAGTGGGCGGAGGTTTAGGTCTAGTGTAGCGCTGTCACCTATAAAAACAATATGTTGTGAACAACATTTTGTGTGAATGAAAAGGATGTTTTATTTACATATTAATGGCTAAGCATAACGGGCGATTACACAATCAAATCTAAAATCTTAACAAACAGTTAAAAAGAGTATACTTGCAAAAAAATCAACTCGACTATAGTTGATAAACCGATATACTACTGATTTTTATTACATTTTATTGTAGTGTTGAAATATATGGCCAAATCTAAGGGGAGTTGATAGGAAGATCCAAACGCATTTTTCTTTTTTAATTTTATTAGTGTTATACATTTATTACATATAAACATTTTTTGTGTGCATCCCTTATACCATATAAGGTTATCAACTTTATTTTTTCAAATGACAACATACATAATTAACTAGCTTATTTAACACATAAATTATTTAATTAAGAAAATTATTTGACAATAACTTTTTGACCGATTTTCGGAAGTTATTAACATTTTAAAATATACACTTGATGTGAGTTGCATGTTTTGTAATTTTTATCACTAGTCATTTTCCCCAGCTATACTTTTCTTACCTGGTTATAAAATACCTAAGCCAAATTATAATTAAAATAATGATTTAGAACAATTTAAAGATTATAATGAGTGTTTTACGCATGAATAATTATTAAAAAAAAAAATTTTTTTTTGTTACTATTGGAGGTATTATTATTTTTAGTATTGCGTTAGTAATTTGAAATTACTTGATAAATGTAATTAAATTACGTAATTTCGTTATAGTAATAAGTAATTTAAATTACATTAATTCGCAAGACTGAATGTTGTAAAATAGAATATACATGTAAAACTAAAATCTTAACTTTTTTCATTTTTTACAAAAAATCAGAAAATTACTTTTAGGTTAGAAATAGCCCGGTATGATTAATAATCATAGAAATGTTAAACGTTCTTTTTTTTCAACTGAACAAAATTAAAGTTTACATATGATTATAATCCATGTGTCAACAAGCAATGGCATATTCGAAATGTATTTATGATTAGTGTATGATATTTTATTGCAAATTAAACACATGACATTTGATCTCATGTTCAACAGACAAATACGACTCGTGTTATTAGATAGCGAAATCAAAGCATTAAGTGAACCTATTTTTGAGGCCAATTCAAATAGATAACTACAACAATTAAATTTAAACAAATGCAATACATAGCAAAGTATTTGGATGTACGCTTTTAAACGGCCGAAGTAATAAAGGTATTTTTGAATTTAAATTAAGTTATGTTAATTGAGTATTTATGTTGCGTAAGATGTTTTGGTTTTTTACAAAAATTTGTAGCTTTAAGGACAGTGTCCGATATTCCTACCACTAATATACACAATCCCATAAAAATTTTAGTTAAACTGTTTTTCTAACCGTTTTTTAATCGTTGGTAGTAACAATTTACATTTTAAGTACTAACACAACCAATATAGTAGTTTAATTACCCGGATATATATTGTTTACGCTGTTTAGTTAAAAAAGGAACCTTTTCGTATGCCTTCATTGTCAGTTCTCATTAAAAAAAAATCGTTCCAGCTAAACGTTTGCACGGTTATCAATAAAAATTTTATGATAAGCAACTAAGCGTACCAGACATGGATGAATATATAGAAATTATCATTGATTCGGAGAAATGATCAACAAATTAAAATTATGGTCAAAAATTAAAATTGCAGCTCCAAAACGGACGAGATAGTAAAAATACAACACGTTAATGCGATTCTTTGAAACAATAATGTCTGTTCGTATACTAATCGTCAAGCAGAATACGTACAAATGTGGAACGTCGACCGCATGCACCACACCGAAGCGAATCGATAGGTTTGATTTCCTACAGTAGGAAATACACCCGTAGTAATATGGCAATTCTAAGTTGCATTTTAAATATTCATAGTGTATACACAACGACAACGGGAGGGGAAGCACACGAACGACTTATTTAATACGTACACGATGACTATCCCCGTTTTGTTTTTTTACTACGTTGTGTAGTCACGGTCGTGTATGTGGTAACGTACGACCGCCACGGTCGTGTACACAACTTGTTGTCAAGTTTGTTTTGCAAAGAGCCGAACGAGCACACGACCGTACACTGAAGTTTTTTCCCAAAATTTTAATCGTTTAATCGAACTCTCAACTCGAGTTCAGTCGGTACACCAGGGAATAAAAAAACGTGATCTATATTTCGAAGTACGTTCGTTTGAATACGAGATGATATTGTTGTGCTGCTATGCGTTCGAAAAGTGTCTCGCTAAAAACATTTTACGAGTGCAAAACGTTTAATCGATAATAAAACCTACGGATTCTTAAAATCTTTGAAAGATGTACGTTCATAGAAATAGAAATATTCGTACGTCAGCATTTAATTCAGAGCGCAATAGATTCACAGAGAATCCAGAAATTATCATAGAAAAAATGAATAATTATAAATTCATTTCCAGTTACATCACAAAGCACAAACAAATTATGTTTAATCGTGCTAAATAAGCACAATACTGTTACTTTGAACGTACGTGTATAATACAATTCTTGGTACGCATCGGATCTACATTCGAACGACTTGAGTAATTTTCATCGAGTTTACATGTCCTGATTGTTTAGAAAATATAATACTAACCACTCAAATTCGCTACAACACTGCCGAGATAACAAGAGATTTAAGTATCTGGTAGATGTTATTTCGCGGGGTTGATGCAAACACACGTGTTCATAATTAATTGACCAATAAGCTGATTAGAACTTTAGAAAGAAACATTTTACACTGGTACTCTCTAAAAGCCAAAATAATATTTTAGTTATTATTACTTTTCCTTTACAAAATCATCGATGAAATATTATTTCTTATCATTTGGAATTTACCCATTTATAAGAAATTTGTTTTTTTAACGACCTCTTAATGATAAATCGAATTCAAATTCATTTGGACATCTTACTTAATAATAAAAAATGTATTGTAAAGTTGAAAAATTCTAATAGCTTAATTAGCTTCATAAAATAAACATGTATTTTGTTTCATCATTGTTTTTACATTCAACGAGTCAACACAGTTCTAAAATAGTCATATTTTCAGGACGATGACATTCAGGTGTTTTACGATGCGTACAAAATGTACACTTGCACTGAACAGACGCGTGTGTGTAATGTGAACCCTTTCGCAGGGGTTAAGGACATATAGGAAAATGTAAAACGATATATTAAAAGACATAATATATTCAACAATTGTAAATGAGCAAACAGTATATTGCTCTCAGGAAGTATATAAACAGATATTATTCAGACGAAATAACGAGTTAAACAATAATAAGCATTTGTGTTTATTGTGATGATACACAAGAGCAAAAAATAAATTTATATAAACTTACTGAAAGCAACGAAAATTGATCGCGTAGCGTTTGAAGAATGTACTTGAATCTGAAGTTGATTAACGTTATTGATTTTTACTGTCATTTTGGAAACGTCTTAATTTGTTTGTCCCGTTTCAATATCACCTATAAACCAAACGACATTACTCTTTAATCAGTGTATTCAATAAAACATAACTAAATATTAAAATTATCATAGTAAGAAGTAGTCTTTTTAGAGAATCGACGATAAAAACAATAAATAATTATAAAGGTCTTTTATAAAGATCTTTTAAAATTTCTTTTCTGAAAAAAAGTAAAATATCGATTTCTGCAGTAACAACAGTACAAGTTCTATTATTAATTATAAATTTTGACCTAGTTGCTAGATCAAGGTCTTTGGTAGCCGTCTTTAGGCCGAACAAAGAAGCCAAAAAGGCGAATGGGTACTGCAATACATCGGCGGCACACGAATAATAATAATAATAATAGTAATGCACATTGATATCTTGAAGGCTATATAACAACGTTATCATTTGCGACAGTCGTGACCTTGATCATAGTGTAAGGACTATACGGTACAACAACGGAGCAATAAGTCGGTCGTATGCGTGACTAAAGGGAATAAAAACAAACCTAGTACGATTGCTTCATAAATTGTATAAATCCAAACACTTTTCTTTTTTTTTAACTACACGGTATCATCATTTCGCGTAGATCGTTACGAAATTAAAGCTGCATCGTTAAATACCTCATCGAGGAATTCAATGCCAAAAATCATTCGCCAATTCCGATTTGAATTTCAATTGGACGAGATAACGATTTGAACGGTTTGTATTATTTATTCATTTTTTTTACGGTGTTTCAGGATGATTTGTTAAAATGGTTTATATAACACACGCGTATAGACTTTTCGGACGACATTACCAGAACGACCATAGACAACAAGTACGACACCGAACACCAGTGAATACATTAAAAATCGTATAATGTAAGGAGGAAAAACGTGATACGAATACGATATGAACCGAGCGAAAGGGGTTTACTCAGTCATTTCAAACACGTCGCTCCGAGATATAAACTCCAATGACAAAAATTATTCCATTTCTTTCATCGTGTTCATTTTACGTATTGTTCATCTCTAGTGCACAGTTTATTTTTTATCTCTAAATTTCTCGACGTCGGAGGTGTTCTGATTTGTGTTTAAACATCCCCGCCGAGAGGGCTGCGTGCGAGCATCGTAATTCGAGGTCAACATGTGCACACTTACTACATGACAACCGATAGAGCACAGATGATCCTTTGAAAACTTCCAAGTGAGGGCGTTCTAGTGTTATCAGTTTGTAGTCCTCTCGGTGTAGGCAAACCGAGGAATTTCGTCAGCAATTTTGCTTTTATCGCAAAGAGCAGTTTGTTATATACAGATTTTAGTATAGAAACTGTTTGGGATTGAAAATACAATTGCAATAATACTATCACAGAAAAAATATATAGCGCTTTTTATTTTTATTTGTTTCCACTATTATTATTTAATCCTATTCTCGTTTTAGGTATACAAACAAATTAATTTCGAATACCAAAAACAGTCAATAAAAGAGTAACAAAATAATTCTTTGTAAATTGATGTTAACAATATCGATTTGAAATTTTTCACACACTAACAATGACGTTATGAAAACACAACATCACAGTTAACATTAGTCGGTTGGAGTTTTTAAAAAAAATTTATCTCTTAAATACTCCAATGTTAGTAGTCTGCTTAATAGTAGTGCGGGATTTCAAAGAAAAATCGTCTGTTGCTAGTTTTTCATAAGAGTGTGACGTCGTAGTTGTTCATTAGAACCATCTGCGATTGGCCGCCCTAAACAAGTCAGTATTTATCTGTTTCTTCTTCTTTAAACATCTAACGCGGTATAATAATACTCCGAGGAAAGACCACATTGGTCTTGCGATACACAGCAGCCCGCGAGCTGTTCGACGACACTGACGAGTGTTATACACAAACGGATAAAATATATTTTTTGGGCACGTTTATGTTCAAGAAGACAAACATATTCATATCATGATAGTTTTTGAAGAAACAAAATGTAGATACCATCAAAAAATGTCATGTGTAGCCGGGACACTTTTTTTTTTGCTCGTCTGATACTTTTACCAACGCCAAAATCAAATATTGTTTATAGACATAAACATTTTTACCTTGTTCTTAATTTTTAAAAGTTAAGAACAAATATTTATACTATTGAACTTTTATTATACATAACATGGGTCGTACTTAAATATTAAAACTTTAAATTCTATATTTGATCTAAAAGGTCACATGATTAAAAATCTTGATTTTTTTATATTATTCCCAGATTTATAATAGCGAATAGTATCTTTAGTGGCTACATTTCGATGACTGATAACTTGATTAAAGCTAAAACATTAGGTTACTGTCACCGAAAGTAAAATGCTTCTCAGATATAAACGAAAAAGAATAAAATTGAAAAGTTGTTTTTGCCTGAATGTTTATTTAATTAAATGTCATTGATTCAATGATACTATGCAAAAAGAAATATCATGACGTTTAACGTTAATTTCTGGGTACACACTACATTTTACAATTTTTTTTTAAATTTTAGTGAAGTTTAATTCATTTTCACATTAATTTTGTCAGTTATTGAACGGATAGTTATCGAAATGTTATTCAAATGTTCATTTTTTTTATTAAAAAAAAAGTTAGTCGATCATAAATAATATAATAAAATTTAACCACGTGGTTAAAATAATACTTTAAAACTGTTATTCATTATTAATTTAATAATATCTAGGAATTTGAAGTAATATTAAATAAAAGTTATATTTTGTTATAAAATTATTTTTAACATGGGTGATAAAATTTAAGTAATATTTACAACGATTAGTAATTATATTTATTTTTTATACATTAATACCCAAGTACTGCGTTTACTTGAAGACATCAAAGTACGAACTGTCATAGAGGGAAACTCTCTTTAATGAAAGTGTTTGATAATTTATTTATATTATCAACTTTCTGTTAGTAAATGTACTGGATGATTGATAATAAGTGAGGCTCTGCGAATTAATTGATGTTTTGTTAGAGTTTATCGTAACTATAAACGTTAAGGTTTTTTATAATATAAAAACCTTAATATAATATATTAAGGTCGGACGACCGTCCCAGTCAAGGTTTCTTTTCAGTCTCCTGTGGACAAAATTATTTGATTTTATTATTTAATTAAAAATATTTTATGATTTTAACTCTGCTCGTAATTATAATATAATAATATTCGTTACGTTGATCAAAATTCGAAGTACGAAAATATTCATTTTAACGACCTTTTGAGCAAGTTAAGGTATTAAGATGATTAACTGAATAATTATTTTACACATTTAACATCATAGCCGAAAATCATAACAAGTCAACTAATATTGAAAATAACATATAACTGGAAAATAACACTTCATATAACGACCACAGGCCTTGTGATATCAGCTAAAACGTTAACCTTGTTTTTTTTTCAATTATCAAACATACTTTGTCGGAATTTATTTTCAATGTTACGACACGTTACATTATATTTTCTAAAAAAAAAAAAATAGAAATTTACTTCAGGACAATAGAAAAAAATATTTCTCTATTAAATAATTTACATTATCTGCAGCAATGCCATTAACTGCACGATTTTTTAATTCACCTTAGTTAGTATGATTTTTTCGAACGCCAAATAAAAAAGTGACGTAGCTGTGTAAATAGAGAAAATAATGTCTTCATGGAATATTAATTTTGGGCGAGAGAGAATTTACAAAAATCTCTTTTGACTATGCGTTACTCACATTTTCATCGTTTGTGATACGCATAGCCTGAGGTCTTCAATCGTCTTAAGTCAATTAAATGATGAATATTATGTAGGACGCGTTTTCCCATCATATTATGAAGCGTTGAATAGTTGGACCTTCTATTAACGCGTCCGGCGGTCGCAGGTCCTTGAAATTATTATAAAATGTATTATTCGATCGATTAAAGGTCAAGAACACAACTGTTGGTTTTCTAATTGCAATAAATTATTAGTTAGTAAGCTGGAAAAATATGACCGATAAGAAGTCATGTCTACTATGTTCACTAACTTATTTTGAATTAAATAATATAAATACGCGAGTAAGGAATTCTAACCAGTAGGAATACTGGAAAACCCGAAATCGATAGATTTCAATTGGATGTCAATCATAAAGGTTTACGATTTTTTTTACTATGATTATAATTGAAAAAAAAAAAAATATTTTTGAAACGAAGTAAGAGTGAAAACACAGAATGCATACACTGGAGGATCTCAATGAGTATACAGGTTTGATTGCAACAAAAATTATGCTGAAATATACTATGATTAGGCAGTCGAAGGAGAAAGCAAACTTAAATGAAGAACACCTAGCATGACATAGCAGACACGTGTTTAAATGACGGACTTAACATAATGGTATAAAAGAGCTGAAAAGATGAAAATTATAATTAAAATTTTTCTATATCTAGAGTTTTAAAAAAACCGTTATATTTACGATGCATTGTTAATTGTCTTAAATTAGCAAATACTATTGGAAGTCATAAATCAAGTAAGTTTTTTACTAATATAAATTTATGTATCTCTAAATACGATTGAATAATGAATATAAAAAAGCTTGGGTATACCCACGCTTTTTTAATCACAGTTTATAAACGGTGATTTAATATCGTTATCATTATCAACACTACAGGTACGAGTGATTTTGACCTTTAACAATTAAGATAATATAATAATGAATGATTAATATCCAATATTGGTCGTCACTACTCGAGAAACAAAATAAAGAACATAATAATTAATTAAATTATTTGAAAAAAANCAAATGATTAATATCCAATATTGGTCGTCACTACTCGAGAAACAAAATAAAGAACATAATAATTAATTAAATTATTTGAAAAAAATAAATACGGTTTAAATATAACAGACTTCATAAAGTTCATAGTTCAAAAATATGACTGATCTAGTTTAAGAGAAATGGTACCCGTTTTACAAACATAATCAATATATAATAGATGTTTAGCTATTGATTTTTTCAACATAGGCGACGGCGTTTTTATTTCAAGTTAAAATACATGTGATATG